CTGTGACATTGTCACCAATCCATGGTAAAAAGAGAAAAATAAGGGAGAGGTATGAACTTTTCAAAAACTAAATGTTTGGCTTTTGTGATTGTTTTATCTTCTAAGATTTTTGCCCCTTCTTTTTTTTCCCTCACTTAACATGGGTACACTTTATTACATGCAAATTATGCCTCTGGTAAGTTGATTTTTAAAAAGTAATGAAGAAAATAGAGAATCTTTCTTTGGTTACTTTCCACCTTTTGGTGTTAATTGTTTTTAAAATGTTTGAGTTGATGGTGATAGTAGTTATAAAAATTCTTCATTTGGTTTTAGTTCTTACTTGATAAAGTAAAGTGGAAGCAACCCTATTTATAAGAAATATTACTACTCATTACGTCAAGAATCTGGGAATCACTGCATAACCATGCTAAGCACTGAACAGTTTCCTCAATACATGCCATTTTAATTTAATTACCAGATGTAACCAGTCATGTAAGTAAACACATATCACATGTAATAAACAATATTAAGAATTTAATTATTTTGTTTAATGCCTGTGTAATTCTGGAAAAATTATATCTTCAATAGTCTGTTAAACATTCAGATTCATTTTTGTTATTGTTGTGGAAATATAACTAAAATTATGTTCTCAGGTTATATGGTGCAGGATGAAAAAAAGGGCCGATCACCAGATTTTGTATGGTGAAGTAAGACTGGAACCATGCTGTTGAGGTGTTAATGTAACGCCCAACGGCAATGCACAGAGCTGACAGAGAGCAGACTGCAGGATGAGAGCAAATGCAAGCTATCCAACCAGTTACCTATCATTCACTTAAGTAAATAGCAGAGAAACCTGATCATCTTGAAAAACCATTAGTATTAAGGGACGGACGCACCTCAGAAATATTATGGGTTCAGTTCCAGACCACCGCAATAAAGTGAATATCAGGATAAAGCAGATCAAATTTTTTGGTTTCCCAGGACATATAAAAGTTATGTTTACATTATACTATAGTCTATTAAGTGTGCAATATTCTGTCTAAAAAAAAAAAACAAAGAACATACCCTAATTTAAAAATAATTTTTTGGTGAAAAAATGTTAACCATCATCTGAGCTTTCAGGAGTTATAAAACTCTTAGCTGGTAGAGGGTCCTGCCTCGAAGTGGATGGCTGCTGACAGTCGATCAGGATGGCGGTTGCTGAAGGTTGGGCGGCTGTGGCAATTTCTTCAAATAAGATAACGAAGTTTACTACATAGATTGATTCTTCCTTCCATGAATGATTCCTCAATAGCATGTGGTGCTGTTGGATAGCAGTTTTACCACAGAACTTCTTTCAAAATTGGAGTCAATCCTCTGAAACCCCGCCACTGTTTCACTAATCAAGTTTATGTCCTATTCTAAACCCTTTGTTGTCACTTCAACAATCTTCACCAGGACCAGATTTCATCTCAAGAAACCACTCTCTTTGTGCATATGTAAGAAGCAACTCCTCATCCATTTGAGTTTTATCATGAGATGCAGCAATTCAGCCACATCTTCAGGCTCTGCTTCTAATTCAATTCTCTTGTTATTTCCAGATCTGCAGTGACTTCCTCCACTGAAGTCGCAAACCCCTCAGAGTCACCCATGAGGGTAGAATCAACTTCTTCCAAACTCCTGCTCACATTCAATTGTGACCTCTTCCTATGAATCACCAATGTTCGCAATGGCATCTAGAATGGTGAATCCTTTACAGGTTTTCAACTTACTTTACCCAGATCCATCAGAGGAATCACTATCTATGGCTGCTATAGCCTTATAAAATATTTTTCTTACACAGGACATGAAAAGTCAAAATTAACCCTTAATTCATGGGCTGCAGAATGGATGTCATGTTTGCAGACATGAAAACATTAATCTCATATTTCCTCTCCATCAGAGCTCTTGGGTGACTGGGGCACTGTCAGTGAGCAGTCATATTTTGAAAGCAATCTTTTTTCCTGAGCAGTAGGTCTCGAGTAGGCTTAAAATATTCAGTAAATCATTTTGTAAACAGATGTGCTGTCACCTAGGCTTTGTTGTTTTGTTTATAGAGCACAGGCAGAGTAGATTAAGCATAATTCTTAAGGGCCCAGGGATTTTTCAAAATGGTCAGTGAATACTGGCTTCAACTTCAAGTCCCCAGCTGCATGAGCCCCTAGCAAGAGAGTCAGCCTGTCCTTTGGAGCTTTGAAGCCAGGCACTGAATTCTCCTCTGTAGGCAAAGTCCTAGATGACATCTTCTTCCAACAGAAGGCTGTTTGGTCCACGTTGAACATCTGTTGCTCAGTGTAGCCGCCTTCATTAACTGTCCGAGCTGGATCTCCTGGGGGACCTGCTGCAGTTTCTGCATCAGCACCTGCTGCCTCATCGCATGCTTTTATGTTATGAGGTCGGCTTCTTTCCTTAAGCCTCAGGAGCCAACCTCTGCCAGCTTCCAGCTTGTCTTCTGCAGCCTCCTCACCTCTCTCAGCCTTCCTAGAATTGAAGAGATAGGGCCTTGCTCTGGGTTAGGCT